ACTTCCTAAACCCCCGAGGTTTCACGTTGTAGGCCTAAACCAGGAACCACCAACCCTAAGCCCTAAACCCCGAAACCCCGAAAGCCCTAAACCCCTAAACCCCTAAACCCCAAACCCCTAAACCCCTAAACCTAAACCCTGAACCCTCTAAACCCCAGAAGCCCTAAACGACACGAGGACCAATTTTAAATGTTTATAACCATTTCAAACCTTTAAAACTATTTCCAATCTTTAAAACTATTCCAAATCTTTAAAACTATTTCAAAAGTATATACCTTCCAGCTCCCACCTCCATATGAGTCCTTGCGCGCTGTCTGGGCCTTGGACGGGTTGTTCAGGTTCGTTGGGGTTTAGGGTTTAGGGTTTAGGGGTTTAAGGGTTTGGGGTTTAGGGGTTTAGGGGTGTAGGGGTGTAGGGGTGTAGGGGTTTTAGGGTTTAGGGTGTAGCTCTGTAAAGGGTTGCATAAAAGTTCTCAAGGATCTCTTTAGAGTGTCCGGGGCTTGGGCGTTTCGGTGATAAGATTGATATTGCAGGTGCAGAGTTTGGGATTGCATGTTTGGAATTTTCTGGTCTGAAACTAGGGGCTTTGGGGCTTGGGCGTGAGGCTTCGATGTTGAAAGCTTTTGGGCTTTCTGGTTGAAGGTTTCGGAGGGCTTAAGATTGACGAGATGTGGAGTTGTTTATTTGGGATTTGGGGTTAGCTTTTATTTTAGCGGCCTTAATGATTAGACTAGGGTTTGGGGCCCATTATACTAAAACCATAATCAGGACCCCCCAAAAATAGTATAGGTACTTATTGAGGCCCCGATATGTAAACCCTAAACCCTAAACCCTAAACCCTTAGGTCGATAAATGCCCGCTTTAGGATTGAGGCTTCGTTCTTGAGGCGCTTCTGTTTTGGGTGCTTCCAGGCTTCGGGGATCTTGCCCTATTGCAGTGTAGAACCTTTATGGGTAGTTGTCTCGGTTTACGGTTTAGGGTTTAGGGTTTAGGGTCCCTTTTAGGGTCCCTTTTTTATAAGGGTGCCGTACTAGGTACTCTTATGTTGAAAGGAGACGTTAAGGTTTAAGCAGATTTGTGAAGTCGGGCGTACCAGACGGTTTAGGGTTTAGGGTTTAGGGTTTAGGGTTTAGGGTTTAGGGCTCTACGGCATTATGGCAGCAGGTAGGGTTCAGTTGAAGTCTAGACGTTTGGGGTTTAGGGTTTGGGGTTTAGGGTTTAGGGTTTGGGGTTTGGGGTTTAGGGTTTCGGGTTTGGGGTTTAGGGGTCCTAACCAGACAGCTGAACCATGCAAACTGCAAGGACCCTCAACCCGTACACCAAGAAGCGGAGTCCTGCATGCAAGTGGGATCCCTGATTTTCAGGCCCCCAGAAAAGGACCCCTATCAAGCCTTTGCAACAAGAGGGATACCACCCAGAAGTCCATGCTTCGATGGGGACCCTAAACCCCTAAACCCCTAAACCCCTAAACCCTATGCCCTAAACTCTAAACCCCTAAATCCTAAACCCTAAACCATAAACCCCTAAACCCCTAAACCCCTAAACCCTAAACCCCTAACCCACCTACCTAAATCGAACGTGCCCACACCGGATCCCTCTTGGGGACCCCTGCGACATTATCGAGGAGGCAGGCGACGCTCCTTCCCCAAGTGACCGGGTTTAGGTTTTAGGGTTTAGGGTTTAGGGTTTAGGGCTTCGGACTCCAAACTCCCTTCCTAAGATACCTTAACTAGGGGTTTAGGGTTTAGGGTTTAGGGTTTAGGGTTTAGGGTTTAGGGTCTAGGGTTTAGGGTTAGGTTGTAGTTTGGGGGCCCTGAAAAGTATTTATGAATAGGTACCTCTTTGGAAACCGTCACCCAAATTGCCACCTAGTTAGATAACTGTGGGGTTGTGCGAGGCTCTATCGGATTAGTTGAGGGCAATATAAGGGCACCATGGTGGAATTGTTCGGATACTATAAGGGTTGAGGGTCTAGGGGTTTTAGGGTTTAGGGTTTAAGGAAGTTGAAGGCTACTTCTGAATATGCATTCAGCTGCATTCTTGCATCGAGGGGTTGTCAGGTCTCTGACTATTCTAGGTACTGCTGCGCTTGTGGGTCCCATGGCCTAAACTAAGCCCCGGATACAAAACCTTACTAGTGAGTTTTCTGTGTATCTTGACAAAGAGACCTTGCAACTATGCAGCAAAAGTTATTCCGAATTATTCCATAAGGATCCCTGTTATAACTGTATACTACAATGGCTGCAACATACCCCAAACCTCATTCTAGTGGTTTCATGCTCCTCTATTGAGACATCAGACTCGCGACCCCATCAGGATCCTGTTCTCTGAGTGCACCTCACTTCACTACTGCCATAAAGGTGCCTTACCTATTGGAATAAAGGTTCTGGGTTTCGCCACAGTATAACTATGCAGGGACGACAGGGGGGATACCAATCCTAATTATTCAGACCTCAGTACCCAGAGACTCCAATATCCCTTAGTTAAGGAATATACTTTAAATCATATCAGGGATCCTACTATAATTTTAAGGTCGATTCCCTAATTAAGGGATATTGGAGTCTCTGGGTACTTCTGGCCC